TCTTACCTCATCATTATATTTACTTGTTTCTACTTGTTATAAAAATGTGAGGTTTTGTTGTTAATACAAAAAAAAATTATGATTAATGTAAAATGATAAGTGACTTTTATTGCTTTCATGGAAAATGACGTGGAAGCCATCAGGATCATGATGACTCCAATATGTTCTTAGTGAAAATAATAAAAGTTACTTGTTTGTGTTGCATTAATTACAATATCATTTTATATTAGCCACAAAACATTATCTTTCTTAACATGTAGGGATAAGGAAGCAAGATAAAAGTCATGTCACCCAGTTAATAGAAAAATTGTACAGTAGAGACTTAATTGGAAAATATAAAATTTTCAAGTGCTTAGTGGAACCAAAAAGTTTAAGACTCAATTGAAAATATTCAAATTTATGAGGAACTTAAAACTTAAGTCATGTCACCCAGAACTTGTGTATTTTTTTACATATTCTGTCAATTTAGTAATACACTCTCTTTTAATGATTTTCCTTGTCTACAGTCCAAATGTATAATGACAGTGGAAAATAATGGAGTTGAGTAAAAGCACCATATGATTATTTGCATATTTTGTGATGGAGTTAAGAAAAGTTTTCATTCCATTCTTGGGGATATAATTGAAATGGTGAGATTCTTGATAAACAATAAAATTGTTATCCCAACTCTCAATTTGGAAAAGAAAAATAGGGATAAATACAATGAGAAGGAATACATTTTTATCATGTTGTATTCCCTTCCATCTTAATCCTTTCCTTGATCACCTGTGTGTCCTTTTTTTATTGCCTAGTTGAATGATTAAAGTTGTGCATAAGATTTCTTTTGGAGTTTGTTAAAAAGTCTTACATCGACTAGAGATAAGGTCAATTTATAGCATAGTATATAAGTGGGTGCAAACCTCACATTACAAGCTAGTTTTGTAGAGTTGAATTAGACTTAAAGTTCACTTCTTAATATGGTATCAAAGTCATGAATTAGAGTCTATCCTAACAAAATTTGTTGTTTGTTGGGTCTATTATTCCACTTGCTATCGGATTATCCATTAATATTTAGTTCTACTTTCAAGATGTTTATACCTCGGCATGAGGGGAATGTGTTCAAAGTCTCACATCGACTAGAGATAAGGTCAATTTATAGTATAGTATATAAGTGGGTACAAACTTCACCTTATAAGCGGATTTTAAGCCTATTAAGAAGTGGATTTTAAGAAGTCGGTTAAAGAAAAGATTTTAAGCCTAACTCAACTCTACAAAACCGGCTTGTAAGATAAGGTCAATTCACAGTATATAAGTGAGTGCAAACTTCACCATACAAACTGTTTTTTAGGGTTGAGTTAGACTTAAAAATCTACTTCTTAAAAGAGTCTCTATTAGAGTACCCAATAGTTAGTAGAATAAAATGATTAAGTTGAAGCAATAGAAAAAAATAAAGTACATGTCATTCCTTGAATTGGCAAGGAAGAAAAGGAAGAGTGCTGAGCGGGACAGAGTATGTTTAGTTTAAATGAGAAAAATTGTTGGGTCTCCTTACTTGTTTACACGAGGAGGGTAGGAAAAATAAATATTTACTATTTTATTCTTATAGCTGCTAAATAAAACAATCAAGCTTGGTTACTCGAATTAAGATCTTTTAGAAATTTGTTATTTATCTACTAATATTTACATACTCAATTTAAGATATTCTTTTTGCACATGACATTAATTGATGTTGTTTTCACTCTTCCTCCTTCTCCAAAACCAATAAAATATAATAACATTAATTCTTATGCAGGTTCAAGCTGTTGTCAAGAAGTATGACATTCTTTTTATTGCTGATGAGGTACTTACATAATTCTTTACATACTGTTTATTGAGGTGAGGGTATTCTGTTGTGCAGTTTTCCATTTTAATTGTTATCTTATATGTCTATTTTAAAGGTAATCTGTGCCTTTGGAAGGCTTGGGACAATGTTTGGATGTGACAGGTACAACATTAAGCCGGACCTTGTATCCCTGGCTAAGGTAAACATGAAACAGCTCTCAGTACAGATTGTCTTTCTAATATTTTAGAAGTTTGTACAATGTTTCTCATTTTTGTGATTGACTTCTAGGCATTGTCTTCTGCATATTTGCCAATTGGAGCTGTGCTTGTGAGCCCAGAAGTTTCAGAAGTTATACACGCACAAAGTAACAAACTTGGTATGGTGGTTCATTCATTCATCAGAATTATCACTAAATCTTCAGGCTTAGTATTCTGACACGTTTCCTTATTTTAGGTTCATTTTCTCATGGGTTTACTTATTCTGGACACCCCGTAGCCTGTGCTGTTGCAATTGAAGCTCTCAAAATCTACAAGTGTGTTCTTTTGTTTCTTGTTTATAAAAACTGCTATGAAGGTTATTATATATGTTTTGTCAATGGAGTATGATTATATTCAACATCTTCCTTGTAGGGAAAGAAATATTGTTGACCAGGTGAACAAGATCTCCCAAAGGTTCCAAGATGGCATAAGAACTTTTTCTGACAGTCCCATCATTGGAGAGGTGTATATTATTTGCTAGGAAACTTTAAGCTTGTGGTTGATAGAATGTATTATCACAAACATTACATTATGGGATCTGCAGATACGAGGAGTTGGCTTGATTTTGGGCACCGAGTTCACAGACAACAAATCACCTAATGATCCGTTTCCTTCTGAATGGGGTAGGTTCAAATCAATACGCATTTTTCATCTATCCCTATTTGAAACGTACTTGACTCAACGTGTCTAATTCATCATTTCTGGTGATCTAAACTGTAATAATATAGTAAAAGACTGTCCTTTCATGCACTTAAGCGATCTACACAAGTCATGTTTAAAATACGTTATTAGATCGTATGATGAATTCGATTGACTATATCTTGGCGACTTTATTATTTATTGTAAATTATTAACAGTGGTATAGTACATGTGAGTAAAACGAGCATGCTATTTTATGTGCATCTGAGCATATTTTTTGGTTGAGTACAGGAATAGGTGCCTATTTTGGAGCTCAATGTGAGAAGCATGGGATGTTAGTTCGTGTAGCGGGAGATAGCATCATGATGTCTCCACCATATATTATTTCTCCTGAAGAAGTTGACACAGTAACTTCACAAATAACCTTTCCATCTTTTTTTTCCATTCATCAGATTAAAGAGGACTTCATTCAATTTTCATTTAATTTTTTTTAGAAGTTTTATATATGCATTTCAATGTTTTGCCCCAGTTAATCAGTATTTATGGGAAAGCTTTGAAAGAAACGGAAAAGAAGGTGCAAGAGCTCAAGTCTCAGCGCAAGTAGCTTAGCAAGATGATGGTATAATAAATTCTGCTGCGCCTACCTACAGGTTTAAAGGAATTAAATTCTGTATTTTAACTTAATTAAAGTTTGTTCCAACCTTTTCTTTATGGTAAATGTAGTAAATCCATTTCCTTGCTTCCTATCTTATTTTCCAGTTATATGCTTATAATAATGCTCGTTACACGCTTCCACATTGAACCGAGTATGGACTCTCATCTCATTAATGAGTTGGAAGCATCGATAGTTTAAGAGTATAAAATTTAGTAATAAACCAAACGGCAATTAGGCCATGGAAATTGTACAAAGGGGAGAGATGTGTGCACGTTTGTTTATGAAAAGCAATAGCAACAAATCGATACGAAGGGTGTTTTGTGCATTTATCATTAAAAATAAGTTATAGTGATCCACAGTGACTAACGGGGCACATATAAAATCGCGAACCAAAAGTCTCGTTAGAGTTTAATTTTCTTGGCTTTTTTACCCTCCTTAATACCAAGAATGAACCCTACTTGAATTTGAGTGCATGTGCGATTCTGTGTTGTGAATTGTTGGATATTATGAAATTTGAGATTTCATGGAGGTTTTGAACTTTTATTAGGCGTTTATGGTACGATTGGTGGAGGAGGAAGGACTTAAGGGTGGCTTGTAAAATATATATGGCGTTCAAATTTGATATATCGATTCAAATAGCTAAATTTATACTTTGTTTTAGAAGTTGGTTTGTGTTAAGTTGTACGTTGCTTTTATTTAACATGTTTTAAACTTTATTTATGTAATAATTAAATAGTTTAAGATTATTAACTAGTATTTAATTGTAATTTTGCTTCTAAAAATGATATAAATAAGAAGAAAAAAGCAGGATAAAAATTATGTAAAGTATTATTTGAACTATTCGTAATTTTTTAATGTCAATCTTGTAAACATTGAATTTCACTCGTCTATACAATTTAACTTAAGTTAAATAAACGAGTTTAAATAAATAGTAATAAATTAAATTTTATGTTTTATAAAGGAGAATTTATACAACACTCGTCTTAAACGGTGAATGAGTGTATATTTTCACTTTATATATTTTGAAATATCTTTAAAAAATTATGCAAATAATATTATCGTCATCATATTTACCAATTTTATTTAAGTCTTTAAAAAATAAACTAGTATTTGTGTTGTTATTTTATAATTTTTTATTTAAAAAGTCCTTACACTTGCTCTTATTTTCTATCCTAGAGAGAGAAAAAATAAATAATAGTATTATCCTAAATAGATGGCAAAAAGAAGACAGTGACTCTAAATATATGCATCAATCCAAGTTTTCCAATTAAAGTATTATCCTCAAATACAGGCTGTACCTTATAACATTTTCAATGGTGGCAATAAAGTAGCCTTCCGGTGGTCCGGCATCTATCAATTTAAACTTGTACGTTAAATCTATTTTTATCGTAAGTTTGGTCCATATCCATTAAAAATTAGACAATTTCATAAAATTTAAGAAATGTAAACTGATTTTATAATTGAATTAGACTTAAAATCTGTTTTATGACCGTTCATTTAAAAAAGATTTTATTTATTTATATATTATAAAATCATTTTATCTCTCATTTAACGTATAACTTCCACTACAATACGTAAAATCAAACACGTTAATAATGTCTATTATTCTGCACTCTGCGTATCATTAACAAGTACAAAGTCTGCAATATAAAAAAATTACATCACTTACCACCAGATAATATCATTGCTTTTCGCGCTGAGCAGAACCAAGAGTTTATTACGGCAGCAAAAATAAATACAAATTAATCAACAAAACACGAAAGAAAAGAAATGCAACCAAACTAAATAGACAACTACATATCATTCGAAAAAGAAAATCCCTAAACTTTGTTTCGATACAATAACCTTTGAGATTGTTTTATATTGAAAATCCAGTTTTGTTTCTGATTAAAAACACTAAACTCTATCTAAACACAAGCTTAATAATAAGGTTCATTTTTTATTATTTTTGTTAGCTTGTCTTCTGGCACGCCTCTCTCGGGAGCTAGGGGATGGCCTATAAACTCCATCTTCATATTCAGATTCTTCCAAATCTCTAAACGATTTCTGGGTCAATTAACATTGGAATTTAAATTAGAACAAAGAATTTTAAATGGGGTTGATAGAAAAAAGATAAAAGGAAAAAAAAAAGTACCTCTTTAAGCTCAGAAAAGCTCACTGCATAGAAAGTCACAGCTGCCGCCGCAAGAACTCCCACAATCGGAAGAGCTACCTGAAACCCATCCATGTCTGCTTAATCTCTTCCTTTCTCTTTATTTTTCTCAACACTGTTATTACTTTTCTTTGAGTGATTCTGAATAAAGGGTATATGATGATGACGATGATGAGATAAGATATTGGATTTGCTTCCACTCTACAGTTCCACTTTTACAGTGACTCTACAAACCCTCGCCCTCTTCACCGTTGATTCCATCAAGTGGCAACTGGCAACCTGCTACTTTTTGTTCACAGAAGCAATTATTACTAAAAACACATTATTCAAATATTCTACCTCGTTTTTTATTAAAAGAAATTATTTATCTAAATATTCATTTTCTCCAAATATTTATCTATATATACTTGATAATGATACTAATGACATTTTTTTATAATATTTTAACATTATATTATTCTATGATTGATTCATGATCATATTTATGATTATTATTATTAATTGTAAAATAATTTGGACCAATCATACACGTAAATAATATTAAAATGTTTAAAAAAAATCTTACGTACGAGGATTGGCTTTTTTGGAAATCAGATTTCCCAATATATAGTTCTCTTTTTCTTTTTTAGTTTAATTTCTTGTTGTCCCTTTTATATTTTTTAAGTTTAAATATTATCGTAGTCGAAATAATTTTGTGAAGTAACTATTTAAAATTTCCAGTTACTGCACAGCTTGCGTTTTCTTTTAAAAAAAATATTGTCTTTTATTTGATAATTTATTTTTAAAAATAAATTCATAAACATGATAAATAAAGAAAGGAAAAATACGTTCCTTTACAATTTCTAAAATATTAAATATGATTCTAAATTATTTTATTGAAGTGGAATTTAAACATAATAGAGGTTAAACTGTTGTCTTATGTTTAACTATAAGTTATAATTTTTAACTATTTAGCAAATTATTTTTTATATTATACTGTTATTTTAGATTGTGTTTACATTCTTTTTATTTTTCTCTAAAATCTTAAAACTTCATCTCATCTTTTATCCCATTAGAAGGCTTATTTTGGGAGGAAGTAGAATTTATGAAAATTTAATCTGATTGCATTTTTGTTTGAGTAGATTTCTTTTTCTTCAAATCAATATTTTTTTCTAGTAATGTTTGCATGCATGAATTATAAATTATTTTTAAGAACACAAAAATACAAGAGAAGCTAGAATAATTATTTATTTTGAAATTTTTTACTTAAACTGGCATTGTTTTGTATTAAAGTTTTAAAATGAGTATTTTAGGTAGAAAAATATTGACTTTGACTGATGTGTACAAGTTTTTGGAATTTAAATTCTTGCATGAGTAGTTAAATGAGAAATTTGACTTGTAATATGATGAATTTGGTTTTTTTATAAATGAAAATTTGATGCAGAAATTGGTTATTTAAGTGAGAGCATGAGGTTTGAGTATGTATATATATAAGTAAATGAAACTATAAAGTTTTAAATGAATTTAATTAAATTAAAAAGTAAAAAATGGTGTGAAAAGTATTATTAGTGGGGTTTTAGATACTCAAACGGAGTTATATACATGTATATAAGATTTTATTTTAAATTATTAGAATGTTTTGAAAAAAATTAAATACATCGTATTATAATTATTAGTTATCATATATGAATGGCTGTAAATTAAAAAAAAAGAGTCAAAGATCATTTATATTTGCATTTTTCATCTCGTCAAACCACCTTACCTTCGTGAAATAATATTTCACCTGTTAAATATTCTCTTCCATTTACTCACAAATCCCAATAAACAAATATGTCATTTTCACTATTTTCACCTCCTCTCTCATGAATAGTAAATATTATGAAAGAAACATGTCTTATTTCACAACATTAAAATCCCTCCAAATTTTTCTAATATTATTAAACAATATTATAATATTTTAAAAAATCAAATCATTAACCTACATAATTAAAAATGGTAAATAATTATAATAAAAAAATTACATATCATTCACATTTAATTAATTTAAACCTATTTAACGAGGGAGTTAAGTGAATTAGATTCAATTTAATCTATATTTAGATAAAATTACTTTTTTAACCAAACTCATTGGTACTAGCTGAAATTGACTTTATGTGTTAGAAATCTATTTTGACATCTTTATAAATTAATAAAAGAACAATAACACATATATATTTTAATTATATATATTTATTATATACTTATTTTCTACTTTTTTATTATATCATATAGTTTATAAATATATAATTTTATTCTCTCTTCAAGTGTAGGTGTTAGATGAACATGTTTGCTATATATAAATTATCTTAATGAAATGCTGACACAATTTCACCTAAGAACATTATTGGTAAAATGTTGACCTAATTTGACATATAATTTCTGTTACGAGCTTAATGAAAAGTCGTGTCATCTTAGTCATTTAATACATCTATATAAGAACTTGAAACTTTCAAACCTCTCCTTTTTATTTTGATTAGTCAATTTTCAATTTTTTATTTATATATTTTGAATACCAAGACCAATCACTTCTTCTTTTCTTTCATTTTATTATTGTTGCTATCAACTTCCCAATAAAATATTTTTTATTTTATTATTAATCAAAAACGAATCGAATTGACAAAGGAAAAGCATTGGTAAAATGGATCATATTAATAAACTAAATCAATAATTGGGAAAAAAACTAGACTTGATCAGTGTAATTGAAAATTGAAAATTAAAAGTTAAAAATCAGTAAATTGTAATTTTCTTTTTCAATTTCATAACTCTATTTATTCAATATGGACATACCAAAGGAATGAAAGACAAACTAATAAGAATAGCAAAATCTGACTTTAATTCAATCGTTTCTGCTTTTCCCAAGGGGACCATCTTTCTAGCTTTTATTTTAGAAAAAACCAAATAAAGTTTCATGTGAGAGATCGATATACTTAGTTGTCTATTTAGTATGGTTGTCTTTCAATTTTATTTTATTTTTTTTCTTTGCTGATGTCAATTAATTTGTATTTATTTTTGCTACCATGGACAAACCCAACTTGGGTTTTCAATTAAGTGAATGTTATCACATTTTGCCATTATGTGTAAGTGATAATGATCCAATTATATTTTTTTTCATACAATTTTTTATATTAGGTAACCTAACGAGAGTCAGGCTAATTAAGGTACATTATATTTTGAATCAGTTCCATATTTAATAATTTCCTAAATCATTTGAAATTATATTTATTGAGAATATTGTTTAAATTTAAAAATAAGGGTATTGATCGGGATAAGATCATCAACTTTTTTCTTATTTAAGTCGTATTTTTTATGACTGTTGTTAAAAAGAGTTTTTTTGATTATCAGATAATTATTTTTCTTATATGTTTAGGGTTCCTCGTCAAGTTAGACAATACACATAATACAACTATCTCCTGCTTGTGCTTATTCCAAAGCGAAGTAAAGTCAATATTTGATTATATATCCATTAATACTTCAAATTGATTTTCTCTACTGAGTTCATTAACTTATAAACTTATAGTTAATGTTTAACAATATTGGTTGTGTAAATAGTTAGACATTTTAATGATTGAAAATTTTGTATTCCAATTATATGTAAAATATTATTAAATTAACAATAATTTTGTTTC